CCTCTCACTGTAACTCTTTCGTTACCTCTCACTGTAACCTCCCATTGTGATCTCTCGCCGTAACCTTTCACTGTAACTTCTCACTGAGATCTCTTACTGATCCAGCAAAATGTATTGCGACGTGTTGTATGCTATCACTGAACCCTCTTACTGTAACCTCTCTGTGGCCTCTCAACGTAACCTCTTACTGTGAACTCTCACTGTAACCCTTTCGTTACCTCTCACTGGGACCTCTCACCATAACCTCTCACTGTGACTCCTCATTGTATGCTATCACTGTACCCTCTCACTTTTCTTTTCGCAGTACCCTCTCACAGAGGGGTTACAGTAAGGGGAAGAAGGTACTCTTCCTCTTACTGTAACATCTCTGTGGCTTCTCACCGTAACCTCTTACTGTGACTTCTCACTGTAACCCTTTCGTTACCTCTCACTGTAACCTCTCACTGTGACTCCTCATTGTATGTTATCATTGTAGCTTCTCGCTGTAATCTCTCACCTTATCATTTCGCTATACTCTATCACTATAACCTCTCACTGTAACTAGTAGTTTAGTATAGTTTAGTATTTCTATAATCTATAACATAATAATGGTGGCTGACATGATTCAAAATGGCTAACATTCTATTCAGCTACGGCGAATTGTGGTTGACAGAGCATAGTCTATCGAGTAGTCTACAATAAATGCTAGACTGCGCCTATAGTTAATTAATCTCATTGCCTTAAGTGAGTTCTTTCAAAATAAATAAACATGTCAAGAAAAATAATTGATTTTTACATGTGCATATATATATATGGTACTTTACATTTCAATATCCAATAGCTAATAAACAATCTGCATTTATATTATTAACCAACGGCGATCGTTGTAGCCTATTACATGTACCATGAATAATCTGCAATCTCGTTCCGAACGATATCGATACTGAAAAACTTGGATTGTGGTTTTGCGCGAGTAGAGCGAAAATTGTATGCATGTACGCCTCACTGGATGGCACAAAAACCTAATTGTATAAACAACAAAAAATATGTATTGTCAACTTGTGTATTTTGGGTGATATTTTGGTTATTATTGCACATATATGGAACAAGATCTTATCGCTATAGAATATACAAGTATAAAGCCAAATACAGGAATGATCATGAGTGGTTTTCATGTAGTATTCTACTAAGATATAGTTGGGTCTAAGTTGTTTTCTCCCTATTTTTTTTTTAGTTTTGTGAAAATACTCTATTATCAGCGAGATTAATATATACGTTATGTACAAGTTACACATACACAAATTTGAATACATTATTGAAACAGATGATTAGTATATAACATAATATAACATGATCCCTTACTTGTCCAGTGTAAATTAACGGAAACAAGTTTTGCCTTAAAATCTAGTTATTTATTTTGGTTATTAGCACAGTAATGACAACTCTAAAAAATCTGTTTTATACACCGCATTCTTAGATGGGTTGACGTATGGCAACAGCGAATTTGAAACAGTAATTCCTTGTAATATGTTTAATCATTCCGTAAGTATGACGTTCAGAAGGACATTGATGTGCGGTAAACGAATTTGTTATTAGTGTTAGTGCACAACTTTTAAATTTGAATGATAGTTACTTGATTTGCATAATACAATTTGCATAATAAATACTAATATATGATTAATTGAATAGCGCAAACCGTGGGATAATATTTGAATCAATATTTATCATAGACAACATGAAGTCTAGATTACGTTCAAGATAATATCATGTTTCGAAGAACAATTGTGTGCTGACAACAAATATTTTCCTGCTTTAAATTTGCATATTATATACCTAATTCCAGATTAATTAGGCAATGTTCTACTTTCCAACATATATTTCAACAACAACAACATTAACTGAATAGATTTCAGTGAAAATCGGTGAATAGATTATCTGCGTCAAGGTGCAGATCTTCCATGTTCATTATTATAAATCATCCATATTCATCACACAATTTGCATAATAATTGTTTAACCTTTCCACTGATTTCTCGTTACTCACCCAACAGAATTTAATAAAAATGTTGTACATAGGTAATCTGGAGTAAGCCACACTATAGGCGTTAAATATTTCTATATTACAGAAATTATAAATCATTCGATCACTATGTGTTCACTACAAATAATAAGACCGCTCTTTTGTACGACGAACAATAACAACCTGTACAGATTGTCAGCATCCTTTATTTCATGTTTTTGTCATATTACCTCAAACCCTGCAAATGGAAGTGTGCATGGAATCATAGAAGAAACGGTGCGCATTGTGATAACTGTCATAAAAGTGATTGACAGGTCATACTTGTTTTCAACTCTGGAAGAACAGTGGGTTCTAACAGGTGTGCTTGTAATTTACATAACAAAGGGTGTTTACAACTTTGGAAGGGGAATTGGAATCTACCAGGTGTGCTGTTATTTGAATAACAAAGGATGTTGATGATCTACTGAGTTGCCTACGTGACACAGCTGCAATTACATTCTGATTGGCTCATATGGAAACCCAGGTGGTGTCACTGCCTATAAATTGGACAGACTAAAGACAGTTTAGGTGGATCATTTCAACTTGGTGTCCGTCACTTCAAATTGCTTTCCTGTGTGTTCTGCTACGATACGATATTACAGGCTACAACCATCATTCTGTGAGACTTGTATGAACTGCTCTGCGATCTCCTGCTATCAGCGGTGCCCTCCAGAATACCAGCATTCCTCTGCAAGCAAGACTCCTGTATTTCTCCATTGTTGTGTTGCAGAAGCCATTGACTGTCGTCCAATAATACACCCTGGAACTGTGAGTTATCACCAATGCACACTTCCCTAAGCAATCCCCTATTTTAGTGAATTATTTCATTGTATTTTTCTGTGCTTCATTTCTTGTAATTATTTTGAGAGGTATTAAAGCCAGGAGCTTTAACTTGATATTTTAGTGTATGTGTATTTCATTCCCAGTACTATTGTCTTGTCTACCCCATACTAGCAGTGAAATAACCCCCTGAGTTCTGTGGGTGGCCCTCCCAATTGCGATAAGCAGGCCTTCGTTCAATGTCTTATCCCTCGTCAATATCAAGCTTCGTAAATTTTACAGACTTCGCTAAACTTCATTCTATATCGAATTGAATTAGGTCGGGCTTAGAAATCTATAATACGTTCTCACTGTAATAAATTGTTACGTATCAAATATCGTGCAATATACGCACTGGTTTACTGCGAAACATTTGCTGTACCTATCACACGAAGAGGTTCAAATGTCTAAATTTGTTCGCACTGTCCACGTTAAAAAGACTCGCAAACCATTTGTAAAATATAATAATGAGGAGCATATTTATTTCAGGGTGGCTACTACGAGCATTGTGGAGGTAAAAATAATCTATGTCGACAAATTGTATTTATTTCAACTCGTCAAGACTGTTATATTGAGTAGAATAAAGTACAAAAGAAAAATTCAACAGCTATTGCTGTCCATGCGTGATGTATATGTCAGACTCTTGAGAAAACAAGTATTAAGAACTAGAAAAAAACGTTATAATACATTCGTTTGTTATCTCTGATCCGTTCATTCATATTTGTTAGGAACAAATATGATCTCATTCTCAAGAGGATGGGTTCAACGGCCTTGGTAACAAATAAATCATTAAATTTTTCAAAATTTATCGTTCACGGATAATGAGTACGTACACTTTCTTTGTGTCTGAATGTTGTTGAGCATTCAAAGATGGCTGCTGTCGGCATGAATTGAGATGAAACCGGTCACTGATTAGAAAAAATGTATATGCTGTAGTGCGAATCCAACATTACATCGTTTCACTGATTCGCAGATAATTACATATAACTCAGTTTTTCAGAAAATTGAAATCCGTGTTGGTCGTAAGTGACGTCATAAATGTAGATGATATAACAACAACAAAACATGCGTATTTACAATGACAAAATGCCAAGACGTGTAAACAAATCGATGACATGTTTCTTGATTTCTAAGTCAACCAGCGTCTGGTACGTATCATTCATATAAATGGTTGTTGACATTATATTTGCTCTTAATGTTTCTTGAAGCGCAAAGTACAGTGTTTGAATCAATGCGTTTTAAGTCCCGTCCCATAAGGTAAAATTAGTTTTATATATTGTATATTTTGTTTACCACAGTAATTAATCACCCAACCACGATACTAAATTACGGTGGGATTACTGCTGACCCGTTGTAGAATAAGTTGGAGATATACGGACAGACTTCATTTTCTATACAACTCCTTGCAAACACATACTAGGGAGGTGTGTTATCAAACGTCGATTCTTCGATTTTCACCGCTTGTCACATTGTTTCAAAAGGTCAGATTGATGAATGAACAACATGATAAAGACGTTGCGATCACATTGAATAGAGATTCCACTGAGCCAATATATCCCGTGTTGTGTTATAAAAGTGCATTCAAACAGCCTCATTTTTTTCACAAACGAAAAAACACACAACCCGCTCTTAATGGCTCACCCTTCCTCACAAATATTTATTCATATATTTTCAATCTCTATCACAGTCAGCGAACTATGTTCACGGCCATCTGTGCCATACAAACCGCTTTACATATTACTGTATTTACAACGTCAATGCTGTATCTACGTACCATGAATGCCAATGCCTGAATGTGTCATGGCAATTATAATATGAGTTATGTGTGCGATGTAAAGACATAACGAACCGACATATAACTTAAAGTAAGACAGTCTTCACCGACTAATACATTTATTTAGTAGCAATCGGAATGTGAATTTAATTTAAGGGTAAACCATTATTAGTGCCGTGTGGTTAAGGTTTCGGTCTACCTATTTATGTAAATACTTTTTCCTCCCACGTTTCGTTCAGAAAAAGTCCATTTTGATTCAATCGCAGGCTTTTCAAGAGTAATGGAAAATTGTAGTTTTCCAATTACGTAATGTGCTACAAACAACGTATATTTTGACAATGTGCTGTACGATAAGGCTGAATGCACGTACCTCGAGCCTGGGGTATGACAATCTTTTTCAGCAACTCAGAATAATCATGATCCGCATCGCCGAGGGAGTACTCATTGAATGTTTCGTAACGCTTCTCGTCTGGGTACTTGATGCCCGCTGTTACCATGGCAGCTTGTAATGCAGCGTTGAAAAACCAACAGTCGCGGAACGGTCGTCCACCGTCGTCCTGGTGGAGCACAGCTATACGTTGCCAATTGAAATTCTGAAGTATCTCTACAAACGCCTCCGCCATTTTAATATGAGGGGGGTGGGTTCTAGTGATCATTTCATACTCTTTTTCCGTTTTGTGTCCGAAAGTTTGAGCTTTAGCACCCGTCGTCAGAAGCGGGATTTGCCAATATGAGGCAAACCTTACAACAGGCGCAGCGGCGTACTCACACGCAGGGCCAACAAATGCCTCAACACCGAGTCCTTTGATATTCCCCATGAGTTCCACAGCTCTGATCATAGAAACATGGTTCGAGCACGCAGAGTCGACGTACGTCACGGAAATGTTGGCACCAGTAAGTAGACTGCGATCATTTTGCACTCTTTCAATGGCAATATCAATGCCTGGCGCGATCATTGGTTTTATATACGGATACATAATATCAATGCTCAAGTCTTGCGAAACATGGAAGTGGCCCCTATCTGTGATCATAACTCCAATACGTATTTCATACGACGACGTCAATATACAAAATAAAGAACACACCAGTGCCGTATGTGCAAGGCGCATCACTGTAGTCTCGCACACTATTCAGAATATTTACAATAAAAACGTGTAAGCCAAATAAAATAATTAACGATACTGTAATGCACCAGCAGTAATATGTCACGGTGAGCATAAGCATAAGATCAATACTCACTACTTTGCTTCAGTTTATACAACAACTATCGAATACGAGCACCGGTGCTCGGCAACAATATCTGACGAATCAGAGTATCTCATGTATTTCTGCCTGTGTTACAGACCTCCGCATTCGTAGGTCACTACGCACAACCTTCGATATACAACCTCCCAACAAGCACACGCAATTTAGTGATGCGCTGTGGGGAGGCGATCTTGCAAACTGATACTTCGATCTCTTTCATAGTTTGAGTCACTACTCACTTGCACATATTATGACAATTCACACATACTGGTCGTGAACGAAAGAATCACCTTATTGACATATTCAGCATCATGATTGTCATATAAACATATATATTTGTTACACAATGTTTTAAATAACGTTTCCATTTGTCAGGCAAAATGCCATACACCTCCTTTTGAGATATTTTTACATCACATTGGGTATTGCTATCACCGGTCATGAGGACGAACAAGTCAAAATACGATGTCCTTTCATGAACTTGTATTCATTTAACTTTTGAAGAGTATAGCAATAAATCCATATTTCATTGAGTGTTAGTATGTACTGCTAATTAATTTTGAATACTTTCTCATTCAACATGGAATCAAATCTATTGATAGTTTCTATAGAAATGATAACAACACCATAGTCAATGAAGATGAACACATATTTTTAAAACGTTGCGAGGAGTTTGGGGGACGGCACTTAATATCTACAATATATAATCATCTGCTAAATCGAACTGACTAATTGAGTTGATTGAAGATGCAAAGTTTTATCTGGAAATTGACATAGTGAGTGTACTAATATATATATATATATATATATATATATATATATATATATATATATATATATATATATATATATATATATATGTATTTTGTTTTGGTAATGTTTTATTTGTGCACTATATATAAATGTGTTCGGGAAAAATGCTTTTATTCAAGTTTCATAATAAATGTTCAAACAGATATTTGATGGGTATTATTGTGAGTACATGTATGTACTAATATTATAGTACATCCATTGAAATTATCTGAATTTTATATGCAAACATAGTAGCCATCCTAAGTAAACACAACTTGTGGAACGATTTGTGATTCGTTAAACATTAGCCTGAATTAATAAATTCTGACACCATATATATCTCTCGACAAAATTCAGACAAATATAAAGGTCTATAAAATTGTTACAGTAATTAAATATTTTTGCGAATATCACTGAACGCAAAAGATGACTATTGCAAAGTGTCTAGTTAAAAAATAAGAGTCGTAGAAATGAGAAAGTTAGGGAAAAGTATAGTTGCTTGAGAGTGTCCAAATCATAGATATCTACGCTCCAGACATTAAACGTTCCAAGTTTATGCCGCACATGCGTACACAGCTGCAAGTAACCAGACAGTTGCATTTGTTGTGTTATGTTAATATATTAGGCGATATTATTATATTACAAGTTTGGATTTATCTATGGTATCTTTAGGTGACTGAATATTTTTTTATCAAAATATACTAACCTTTTTTGGATTTGGAATTTTGTTTGGATGTGTGCCGCTGCCCGATCACTGCAGACTACAGTCTCGGAATATTGCTAGTTTGTTGTATTTTGTCTTTAAATGTAAAGAATGTATACATGATTAAATCATTTGGTATTTCATATTCAATTTTGAATAATGTTCTCGTCACCTTTCATGCTTCGTAGCTTTGGTGCTCCTACAGGCAAGCAGTAAGTTATTGTCTTCATTTCAAAAATTTCGTCATGCATTGTTTGATTTTTGCTTCGAGTGCGAACAAAACACAAATAACCTAGGAAGTACGTAATAGTCTATGTTTGTAGTTCACTCGGCCGCAGTGGTAACAAGGCTTATATTCGTCATATAAATAAATGAAAGGTGGAATATGATGGCTATACATGAAACAACTCAAGAGTCTGCATATCAGTCTAATCATCTTAATGGAAATTGCTTCGCAGTGAATGCTGAATCCACGGAGCTACTGAGCGACATTCGACTATTGGCAATAAACCTCTCTTGCGGAAAACTTTCGAATTCAGGAACTTTTGCATTATTACATTATGCATAGGACTAATTTTAAAGGCTTGACACTAAGTTCTGTCAAAAATCCAAGTTTAACAGCATGTCTCTTACGAATAATTGGATTCACATTCAATGTAGGCAATTTCGAAAGCAAAGAATGATTTAACTAGCTAATCTCACGTGTTTGAACGTATTAATTCAGGGATTGATTCACTTCAAGTGTACCACAACACGTGTCGATAATGTACAACTGAATACACCGTTGGTGGGATAGAGCGTGATGCGACTCGTACAAACAAATATTCAGTGACACATTAGATAAACTGAATCACGACTACCTAGCTAACTCGAATCACTTGACAAAGCTGTTCGCCTGATCAAACATATTTTTTTTACATCGAGTTGACTGAATTCAGAAATGGTTATGTCTTGATTGAAGAGTTTGGCAAAGTAGTAAACCGTGTTCTCAATTATCATGCAGAGCGGCGTGTATTGGAAAGATGAATAGATATAATTGTAGCGACATGGGGTAGATAACGCATTGTAATCTAAACTGTTCATACATTTATCATTTACAAAAGTGAAATATTATCTAGTCCACTTACATTTCACTATTTATATTAGTCTGTGAATCCAGTTGGTGTGAGAATGTGCCAGCAATGTTTATATGTGACCTGTGGCGTCTATACATTTATTGATGTTTCTCACAACCCTCAGCCCATCGTACTCAATCAATATCACAATTGAATATCATTAATGTGTATTCCTACTTTTGAAACAGAGAAACTAGAGGTACAATCAAAAGTAGATGATCTGTCTATTGTAACAAAATCATGAAGCGTTTGCCACATTGAAGAACAACCAGATACTAGTAATATTCAACTGTATTTATTGTGGACTCATTCGAATGCAATAAATAAGTGCGTTCACCCTAATTATCTTACTTAGTGTCCCTATACTGATATCAAGGGGGAAATCTTCTGGTCTGGGGTTCTCCAACACGTGTCACGGGGAAATTATCGTCTGGTCTCTACATCTCGTCTGCTTGAGGTACCGGACCGGGAACGTCACTTAAGCTTTACAGTCAATTAGACTCGTCTTTAGTCGGTCAGTCGAGTACTCTATAAGACACAGCGCCCTGGGGAAAAGTCCCCAAGACTAGGCGGTACACACATTTATAGGCGGTACATGCATTCATAGGTGGTACAGGCATTCATAGGCGGTACATGCATCCATAGGTGGTACAGGCATTCATAGGGGTACAGGCATTCATAGGCGGTACATGCATCCATAGGTGGTACAGGCATTCATAGGCGGTACATGTATTCATAGGCGGTACATGCATCCATAGGTGGTACAGGCATTCATAGGGGTACATGTATTCATAGGCGGTACATGTATTCATAGGCGGTACATGTATTCATAGGTGGTACATGTATTCATAGGTGGTACATGCATCCATAGGTGGTACAGGCATTCATAGGTGGTACAGGCATTCATAGGCGGTACATGTATTCATAGGCGGTACATGTATTCATAGGTGGTACATGTATTCATAGGTGGTACATGCATCCATAGGTGGTACAGGCATTCATAGGTGGTACAGGCATTCATAGGCGGTACATGCATTCATAGGCGGTACAGGCATTCATAGGTGGTACAGGCATTCATAGGCGGTACATGTATTCATAGGCGGTACATGTATTT